CATGAGGAGTTGCACAGTAACATCAGGACATCTGCCTTCCAACAGAGGGCCTGGATTTGTGTTTGGGACTGTGACTCTGTGGGAATTGGGGTGGCTTCACAGAGAGCAGAAAGCACATCCCCAGCCTCCCCACTGTTTGGAGTGTAGACGGTGAATGGACATCTGACCCTCTTCTCAGAACTGAGTTGGGCTGCAGAGCAGGAGGCTGATTGACAGGATCCCTAGATCCAGTTCTGCCTGCTGTGTACACTGGGACAGTGTGATTAGTCACCAGCTCCTTTGTTGTCCTTAGAGTTGATGATGATCTTCTCACTTTAGAGACCCACCCAAGTTATGATCACTGGGTAGCAACAGAATATTCTAGAATTTTAAAATATCTTTGAAAATGTATCTAGATATAGGTTCAGATGTAGATCAGTGATAGAACATTTGCATAGCATGTAAGAGGTTCTGGTTTCAATTTCCCACAAACCACAAAAACAAAAACCAGAAGAAAGAAAAAGAAAAAATACATATATTCAATATCAACATAAACAAAAACATATATATAACAATAAGTCTATTCATTTATTCTGTATCTAAAAAAAAATGTCCATTTTTCACAAATTAAAATATCTTTGAATTCTCTGAAGGCCATGACTATATTTGATTCCTTCAATAAATGACTCTCACTATATTCCTTTTTACTTTTTATCATTCAAAAATATTTTAGAATAGGTATTTCCATTTCCTGCCTAGTCCAATGTCACCTCACTCACCTAACCACACCAGTGTACTCAGGTCAGCCTGACTTGCTGGAAGACTAGTTGGGGTCTCTCAGCTCTGATCTTCAGTGACAAGGAAAATGACCTGCCTGGAAGCTGAGCACTGACTGTTCCCTGCTCTGAGTAAGACCCGGGATGATGACCCCTCTGCCTCTGGGGACACAGTTAGTTTGGACTGAGCAGACAGAGACCCTGCCTGACCCACACCAGGGAGTGTACTTAAATTCCTAGACAGCAGTTACATTCCAGGCTCATGCACTCCTTCTTTCTTGTTACTAGTGACATCTTCAGATCTGGTAAAGAGCAATCCCCTCAGTGGGGACAAATTCCTGTGTCCTTCTGCACCAGGCCATTCCTTGCATTCTCTATCTGACAGTGATCACAACTTCACATGCATTATTTGTTGTGATAGTATAGAATCCTATCATTAAGGGATGGAAATCACTCCCAAAATGACCTACACCCCTACAATAGAACAGCCACAGAACCCTTCTCCACAGAGCATCTCACACAGAGAGGAAATTCAACAGAAGAGGTCACAGAGTCCCGTGGGAAGTGCTTGAGGTTCACCAGGTAATGTCTGGCCAGCCCCAGTTGTCATGGGGTGAGACAAGAGCAGGTGTCTTGTTAGAGCAACAAGCCATTTTCTTTGGGTCACAAGTTGCATCATTTGGGGACCCAGGCTGTCTGGAGCATCTGAAAGGCAATATTCTAGGACCTGTGAGGAACAGCCTCTAGGTCAGCTCTCAGAGATGGGAACAGGGGCTCTCCTGCATAGGTATTGATCCTCTAGGATCCAGTTGAGGGATGCAGAGGAACATGGGCCACTCTCACTAGCCATGATGACTCTCAGTATCTCTGGGTTCTTGGTCACTGATAAAGTTTGTTGGGGACATTATGAATAGCCGTCACATTTTTCTTTCTGTTTACTCAGAGCAATACCTATAATGGAGGTTACAGTTCCAGTGAGCAGAGGGCTGACCCTATGTGAGTGTTGCTGTTAGGCCTGCTCTACAATGTCAGGACCCATTGAGTGTCCCCCCACAGAAGTTCTGTGCAGCAGCCCCAGGCTCCTCACTGGGGTTGGGAGTCATGACTTGGCCCAAGACCCACTGCCACTGACCTGGGAACCATGGATGTGTGCAAGGAAGCTTCTGTGAAAGGATATTTTCTTTAGCCAAAGTGACCATGGTACTCATAATTCAGGAATGACCTCCAACCCTTAAACTAGGATATGCCCAGAAAAATACATTCTTAAAGTGCTCAAAAACAACCCATTAATTTGACCAAGGGAGACACTACCATAGTTTGGGAAATTTACTTACGTCCTTCAACCCTCACCCAGTCTATTGTCCACAGTGAGCTGAAGGGTTAGGATGCAAAGCACAGGTGGAAACTGTTTGAACCAGGGCCATTGAAACCCTCTCTGAGGCCTGGGGGCCACATGTCAATGGAAGTTCCATGTGTCTGTAGAGACAAAAACTGGCCTCCAGAGAGACAGCTGATCCTCAGATGGGTAAGAGCCACTTCAGATCTGTACTTCCTTCTGCATGATGATTGTGACAGAGGAGGTCGTTAAGTCAATCCCAAGCAAGGTCCTCCTGTTTGAGCCTGAGTGTGCACAGAGGGGTGGATACACTAGGAAGGGAAGGGACTTTCCTGCTGAGGGCAGGGGCGGAGTAGGGAAATCCAGGGGGAGGGAGGGGTGGAGGCTATGTATGCACATCGGTGTTGGTTTTGAGTGGGTTGTGATTGAGTGTGGTTGCCATGGTATTAGGTCCTACTCCGTGAAGTCTTTATAAACACCTTATATGGGAAAAGTGCCTTTGCAAATGGAAACTATGGCTATTTGAATATTAGAGATTACCCTATGTTTACCAGGCATGCCCAAAATACAGGCCCAATGGCCTCATAAAAATCAGGTAAAAATATAAAGAGACACTTTACATAGATGGAAGGATGAAAGTCAAGGGTGATAAAGGGTGAGACAAATTCATGGTGTGCAGCCACCAGAGCTGGAGATAGAGGACCAGACTGTCCCCTGTCACCTCTATACCTGGTATTGGCCACTGGGACTCTGGCCCGCAGCACTGTGGGGCATGGTAGTAATGTTGCTGTGACCTGCAATCTCTGCTTAGTGTTTACAGCACATGTTGGGAACCCACAACATGGGGCCCAGGGAATACCAGGCTATGGCTGTTGGAGTCCTCATCAACATCCTAGTGCTCTACAGGAATGGACACTGGAAGTTCCTCTAGTAGGAAATACAGCACATGGAACCCCACAGTGCAGAGAAGCTCCTGCTTTCTGTAGATGAACAGTGGGGGTTGCCAGTTGAAGAAGATATCTCACTACTGGGACATCACACAGTGTCCTCATTTTGAGATATTCAGAGGGACTTAACACAGACTCTGTGACTGTGTGTTTACAGCATCATATTTCAGGTGAGTCATTTGGTTTATCCCAGGACCCCTCTGATATTTTTGCTGTGGCTTTCCACAGAGGAGGCAACCAGTCATCCCAGCACAATGGGGTCCACAATGACACGTGGACTGTGAGGGCTGTGGCTGGCTCTGAAGCCAGGTCTGTCTGAATTTAGATGCATTTCTTCCACATGGCGACAGTCTTCCCAAAGATGCAGCATGGCCTGTGCAGTGGGAGGAGAGGATCCAAACTGAAGGCAGGGAACCTCAGCTCCTGCTGCCTCTGCCCACTCCCTGCTGACCTCACCTGAAACTCAGGCCTCTGCAGGTTCTTCTGCAAAACACAGCCCTGTAGCCCTCCCTGCCCTACTTGCCTTCATTCCAGATGTGGGCAGGGATGTGCCTTGCACTGCCCTGATCCTCCCTCCTGCGCTCTGCCCCCATTTCTGACTAATTCCTCCCCTTTAACTCTCCCCTGTGAATCTAATCTGTACCTCTGACATGGAGACCAATGAGCACAGAGCAAGCAAAACCCTCCTCTCTCCTCAGGTGCTGTGAACAGACCCCATGTGAGGGAGATTTATCTAGGTATTTCTACCTCAGAATAGCTCTGGAAAGATCCATTCTTAGAATAAAGGTTTTCTGCCTCATGTCAATGTAGAAACCAAATGACAGGAATGTGACAATGTTTAGTGGGGCAGTGGATGGCCACTGCTAGGGTGTCTCTGTCTCTTCCCTTGCATCAGTCCCTCCTGCTGCCTCCAAAGACCACCATCACCTCCTGGGCTTAGAGCAGCCCAGGCTGGTTATCTCAGGGTCCTGGAGCTCAGATTCCCAGTGAGCTGAAACCAGGGCAGGAGGGCTGGGTGCCTTCTGCACACTCCTGAGGACAGAATTCAGCTCCAGGCTTTCCAGCTCCTAGGTTCTCTCACTTTCTTCTCCTGGCTCCTCCCTCTGTCTCTCAAGATCTCTCAACATTGACCCATCCCCTGACTGTGACTGTCCCCCCTTCCCACTCTAAGGGCCCTAGTGATTATATTGCTCTCCTGCAGAATATTCAGGAAAATCTCCAGGTCCTGAATCTTTACCGTAATCCCAACTCCCTTTGTTGATGTAAGGTAATATTCTTAGAATTTCAGGATCAGAATATGGGTGTTTATTGATTTCCTATAGAATGTCTCAGTGAAGGTGATTCCTTGACATTGGGAATTCATAAAAGTGCATCATTCATTGTCTCCTACAGGTGATACATGGAGGCATGGGAAGGGGAGAATCACCTGGTGAGTACTAGAGTCCATGGGCAGCTTCAGAGCACAACCTCAGGCCTTCTGCACAGCTCTGAGGACCCCAGGGTTGGGCACTCTTTAATTTCAGTAGAATATTCTCTCTGGATTCTGGGTGAGCAGCAAGGATTCCTGTTTCTTGTGTCAGCTTCTCTGACTACCAGACCCCAGGACATTACAGAGCAGATTAAATGTCTGTTTTCTCACCTAGAAAATTCCCAATTGGGACACCATTAGGGGCTTGTGTGTTGATGTATGAATCCAATGGAAACCATAACCAAATTCCCCATGTCTAACAAAGGCTTTCATTGATTTCAGGGGAGCATAATCATGTCTGTTTCTCTTGGGCTGAGGAGGAGCAACTAGCGGGTGTACACAGAATACTCTTTGGCTCTTTCTACCAAAATCTCTCAGTGACCCTCAGAGCCTGGTGCCTCTGGGCAGTGCCCTCAGCAGGTGGAGGCAGCAGGAGGAGCAGCTGGGGCAGCCCAGCCTCATACTTCTGCTCCCTGGGAGGTTTTTGTCATGGTCTATATCACTGTGGGAGGGTAACCTTTATACTGTTGACAGTAGTAAGTGGCAAAATCTTCAGGCTCCAGGCTGCTGATGGTGAGAGTGAAATCTGTGCCAGATCCACTGCCACTGAACCTGGAGGGAACCCCAGATTCCAAATTGTTTGCATGATAGATGAGGAGCTTAGGAGCTTGCCCTGGTTTCTGTTGGTACCAGGCTAAACCTATGCCAATGGTCTGACTGGCCCTGCAGGTGATGGTGACTCTGTCTCCTAGAGATGCAGACAGGGAGGAGGTATGCTGTGTCATCTGGATGTCACATCTCACACCTAACATTGAAAACATATAAACAAACAAAAATTATTCATATTAAAAGGCACTTCTATGTTTGGCCAGTAATCCTAAAAACAGTAGGCTGATTAACTCCCCAGTGCTGTCCCTCCTTACCTGGGAGCCAGAGGAGCAGGAGCACCAGGAGCTTGGCAGGGGCCCTCATGGCCATGCTGTGTCCTGTCTCAGACTGACTCCTTCACAAGATGTGACTGGCATATTAAGAAGTCCTCAGGGCAGTGGGCTGTGCTGTGGGAACAGGCAAATCAGGAGGGCTGGGCAGGGCTGGGCACAGCTGCAGGGCGGGCTCCTGCCAGTCACTCAGCACAGGTCCAGGGTGCCCAAGTGTCTCTAGAGTAAACAGATCACCATGGACTTGGCAGTGGATAATGTGTTTTGGGTGACAAAGGACAGCATCCTCCTTGTGCCCTCAGTGTAGAGTATTACTTGATCTCTGGAAGGTTGCCATGTGCTTTCTTGGTCTTCATTTCATCCTGACAGGGGCTGTCAGTCAGGACAGAAATCCATTAACTGCAATTAAGTTAAATGAGGGTTGCTTGATCCTCCACAGATATTAGTGAGATGAGACCAGCTCCTCTTTGGTCCATTTCCCTTGTGCCCTTTCTGTGAATGAGAAAATCAAAGTAAACATGGGGGAGGGTCACAATTTATAAGAATGAGCAGGATCTGTCCTCACTTACTCTTCTTCTCATCTCCAGCTAAGCAAGAGATTGTCCATGAATGCTGTGTCCCTCTACATACATCCAAGTCATCCAAGGTCAGGAAGTGTCTCTGTCCACCAGAGGAATAAGAGTGAACTTCTTGTCTCTGCTTGTGATTATCTATATCCACATTTAATCTTCCTTGGATTCACAGATTACAGCTCCTCCTCTGTATTATATAGTAATCAGATCAAAGTCTTCAGAAGGGGAGGTTCCCTCTCTGCAATGCTCCTCATTGACACCCTTGAATCTACAAAGTTCCTAAAAACTGCATATTCTAATCTTGTTAATCTCCTAGGTCAGAATGGAGCAGAGTTATTAATGGCTGCCCTCAGGGCCCCTGGATTTAGGCAGGGTAAAGTGATAAAGAAGCAGGTAAGCAAGTGAAAAAGAGTTCAGCAGAGAATGAAGGGAAATATGGGTTCTGGAGGTTGTCCCCACTCCTCTCAACACACCCACACACCTGTTGCACTCTGACCACTAACTGGCCATCTCCAACTTTGTACCCCATAGAGTGTCCCCCTAACCATGCCTGGACTCTGTTCCTTACATAGGAACCTCATCCCTCTGAGTACTCTGCCCTTTCCTCTTTCTTGGGTGCCCACAGTGAGTCAAAGGTACAACTAACCCCAATTAGTGGCAACCTCAGGACCAATGAGACTGCACTCACACACATTTCTCCCTCGCCCTGCTTGAGTCCTGCAGTTCTAAAACAGCCATTAGAATTGGGTTCTTTAAGGAACTACTAGATACTTGGTGATGACAGAAATGCACACTTAGGCAGCCAGGCTCTGAAGCACATTGACTGGAATGGGAGAGGGTACCTCTTTGTGTATTCGCCATCTTTCCATCCCCTCAGCTCCATCAGTGCAGACCAGGGTGTGTCTCTCCTTATTTCCTAAAAGACATGGAGTAGTGAATGTTGGGAGTCCACATAGTGGTATCCCATGAGATTTATACAGCTAACAGATACTCAAAGCAGGAATGGATTTAATAAAGGAATTGAAGTTCACACTACAGACATTAATTGTATTAGCAGGTCTGGCTGTTAGGGATATTGGTCTTAGAAATAGGGGATTCTCTGTTTCTCCCCATAATCCTGAACTCATCTGTCAGTGTAGGTAAAGACTGCCTAATTCTGTATTCTCAGAGTGCTTTAGGGAACTCCAGACTGGAGGTGGTTCTCTTAGCCTCCTATACCTCATAACCTGGTCATTCTGCTGATATCTCCTCTGTCTATAAAAACTGCCTAATTTGGGCTGGGCACAGTAGCACATGCTTGTAATCCCAGTGGCTTGGGAGGCTGAGGCAGGAGGATTGTGAGTTCAAAGCAGCCTCAAGAAAAAGCAAGGTGCTAAGCATCTCAGTGAGACCCTGTCTCTAAATAAAATACAAAAATAGGGCTGGGGATGTGGCTCAGTGTTTGAGTGCTCCTGAGTTCAATCCTGGCACACACACACACACACACACACACAAAAAAAAAAAAAAAGATTGCCTAATTTTGTATTCTCAGAGTCTTCCAGAGAGGTCCAAACTGCAGATGGTCCTCTCAGTCTCCTGTACCTCCTCACCTGGTGATTCCACTGATACCTCCTCTGTCTATGCCTCTGACAATAGGTGCTTGTGGGTGTAGAATTATTCACTGTGGTGTCTGAATCATACAAGTGCCTCAGTTGAGCAATTTTAAAAAACACATAATAGAAAAATGGATTCTGTGATCTGTGCTCCCCAAGGTGATGGTAATCATGGACAGCTGACAACAGACACCATTACCCTCTTATAGCCACTATTATCCCAACTGTCATTATGTTTCCACAAAGGGATTGATTCATAATATGTGGAGATGATATTTCAAGTATTATCCAATCTGAGATCAGGGGGAAATTTCACAAAGTAAACTGAAAATGATGAAAATAATTCAGTATGCAAAAATAGTTCTTATTTTTACAGTGGGATTAGCAAAAGCTAAGGCAAAAGCATGGAGCCCATTAAAGAGAAACAAGTATGTGCTACAAAAAAACTTTCCCTTAAGAGACAAATGACTTGTAATTCAAAGTAGACCAGCAGGTGACAGCACCAGACACATTGAGATTATTGAAATGGAGAGCAGCTGACTGTCCTGCACACATAGGAGGAACAGCTGTATTTAATAAGGTGCAGGTGTGCTCATCAGCTTCCCACCACTGTGAGCAAAAATCTCTGCACAGCACCTTGTGGGGAAAAGACTAATCTTGATTCTTGATTTCAGAGGTTTCATGCCATAGACCGTGGCACCTTGGCTGGGGTCTGTGTGCCACAGACCATGGCACCCCATGACAGGGCTTCTGTGGCAGGGCAGAGCTGCTCACCTCAGGAAGCCAGGAAGAGGGGAGAGAGAGAACAAGAGGGAGAGAGAGGTGTCAAGGAAAAGGCACACCTTCCTGTCATGCCTCAGTCGCTTTTCAGGGACTGTCATAGGGAGACACATCTCCTTGGTCTATTTGGCTCAGATAGTAAAGATGTGTCTTCTCAATGTTCTGCAAGCTGAAGGTGCAAAGTCAAGAGGCAGCAGATGACCCCTCTGTCATCAGCTGTCTTCATAGGGCTCCCTTCTTTTCTGTCCACACAGGCTTCTCCTTGTGGCCTGAGAGGGATGGAGAGAGCTCCCTGGACAGAGAGCTCCCTGGACATCTATTCAGAAGGACAAGGTTCCTGTGGGATCATCCTAACCTGGATGACCTTGTTTAACCTCCTTTCCTTCTTATAGACGACTTCTGCATACACACCAACAATGAGGTGAGGTGTCAACATATGAATGGGGGCAGTTTTACTAATTCTAAAGAAGTGGCCTTAGTGACTATGTGGAGGGTTGCAAAGGCAGGGCTGGGCATCCAGTCTCAGAGCACCAACATAGAGAGCTTTGTCCCACACCTCAGACCCCAGACAGGACCTCCAAATGCTCCTAGCCACACAGAGTCCCCATTCAAGCCTGGGGATCTCCCTCTAGGTAAAGGACAATATCACTCTATAACTTACCTAGCATTTCCAAGATCAAGCTTCTCTTTGCAAATTGTGGTCTGTTCTGACCCCTACTGGTTTATTATTAGTATTGCATCTTACAGGGTCAGAAATGGTACCAAGGTGGCTTCCTGGAGTCCCTTCTCTCTTCATGATGGAGCTCATTCTATTCCTTCAGTCACCAGAGCAATTCTGCAGAGAAGAGAAAATGATCCCTCCTCTGATGCAGAATCAACTTGAGGGCACAAGATCAACAGACAATTTCATGGTCAGAAAAGGAAATAGTCCTAGGACAGTAGAACACATCTGGACACTGTGATACAGGTGAGATGCCACAGGTGTGGATTTACTAAGATTCCTGAGGGCTGCAGTGCATACTGTCAGAGGTGGCTGGAACCATGTTCTTCTGGTCTAGATCTATCCATGAAGCCCCATTCCCATCATCCTATGAGCCTTCCAGAGCCTACCCTAGGCCACAACAGCTACACCAACTGGGGGAAGGACCTCATACCACCCAGTAGATGAGGAGATTTGTGTTCTGAGCTGCAGCACCATGAAAGACCTTGCGAATCTTTTAGACCAACACTGGCCAATAGAATCTCCTGTCATGATGAAGAGATCTATATCTGTGCTGTCCCATATGGCAGCTGTTAGCTACACATGGCCTCTGAGATGAAGCACGGGAAAGAACCAAGTGCAAAGGAAATGTTCATTGTAAAATTTAACTGATTCTGAGTTTATAGAGTCACTGTGGCTAGTTGCTCCACGTTAGACAGCACAGTTCTAAAACCAGCATCAGCACAATCTCTGTGGCCACCAGGATGCTAATTTACAGGCACACAGTCTTCCCCATGCCATGGCAATAGTGATGGACAGTGGCATCCTCAGCCTCCAAGCTGCCTCTGTAAGGCAGACATTAAAATGTGATATCCTGTCACTCTGATGTCTTTTTCTGCTGGGGTGGTTTCTAAAGATTTTTGTTCCTTTGAATTGGTCACGTTTCCCTGCTCCTTTGTGTGCCTTGCCATCTTCTGTTGAACTGCAGACTTTGAATTAAACATTCCACATTTGCCCCAGTCTTTTAATTCTGATGTGGAACTCCTTCACTGATTATCTAAGGCTTGGGGTCTGCCTGGGTAAAGGCTTTGATCTTTCCTGGGCATACAGGTACCTGAGTATGTGCTTCCCCTCCCAGGTTCCCCAGAATCCATGGCGGTTTAGAAATGAGCTGGTTACCTGAGGGTTCCATGGAAGCTTCTTTAGGGCCTTGGTGTGCTGTGTGTTTCCTGATCCCTTTTCCTTCATGCAATGGTCACACACTGTGGCTCCCACCACAGCTGTCCATAGTTCCCTCACTTGAGACCTGAGCCCTGAACTTGTCCCTGTCTGAGTTCTGAGTCATGTGATAGAGAGAGCAGTCCACCAGGCAACCCACAGACAAGGTAGAAAGTCACAAGTAAGTGCTACTCTGTT